GGTGGGGTGGATGGGGGGTGGAGAGGATCAATGGGGGGAAAAAAGGGGGATATCTGTAATACTTTCAACAATAAAGATAAATTTAAAAAAAAAAAGGGTAAGCCAGGCGCTCTCCCTCTCAGGAGCACGCCTGCACCTTTCTTCCCCCACAGGCCTGCATCTCCTAAACTCTAAGGGTCCCCATGAGACTTGCAACCAGGGGAGTAATGGGTAGCAGCAGCTTGTCCTGGGCTAACCCCTGAACCTGTCTCTAAGGCCCCCTTTTCTCTTACTTTCCAGTAATCCAAAGCAGCCCCACCTAGTCTTGCTCCTGTTCCTTTTTCTGTCCTAAGCCCTTCCTTGTTTCACTGTCCCAGCTTTAATAAATGTACTCACTCTTTTTAAATTTTTTATTTATTGATTTTAGATAGAGAGAGGAAGTGTGAGAAACAGCAATTTGTTGTTCCACTTATTTATGCATTCGTTGGTTGGCTTGTATGTACTCTGACCAGGGACTGAGACCACAGCCTTGGTTTATCAGGATGATGCTCTGACCAACTCAGCTACCTGGTCACCTGGTTGGGTGCCTCTTTTTTTAAAAAAATGTATTTTATTGATTTTTTTTTTAGAGAGGGGGAAGGAAGAGGAAAAGAGAGATAGAAACATCAATAAGAGAGAAACATCATCCATTGGCTGCCTCCTGCACACCCCCTACTGGGGACAGAGCCCACAACCCGGGTATGCGCCCTGACTGGGAATTGAACCAGTGACCACTTGATTCCTGGGTTGACCCTCAACCACAGCCACACCAGCTGGGCAGGGTCTCTTTTTAAAAAAATCCTCACTGGAGGACATGCATAGGGAGAGTAAGGGAGAGAGAGAAAAATGTTGACTGAGTCCTCCTATACACACCCCAACCAGGGATCAAACCCATAACCTAGGTATGTGCCTTTACTGGGAATCGAACCAGCGACCTTTTAGTGTACGGGGCGAAGCTCTAACCAACTGAGCCACAGGCCAGGGCCAGTTATCACCATTTTTAAATGGGAGATTTCACATACAGATCCAAATTTGTAGGAACTCTCTAAAAATGGAAGTTCTGACAATACTGGTCTTACATGGAAGTCACTGGCTGCAGCTAAAAGCAGAAACCACCTTTGGACAGGAAAGGGACTTTCAAGTTTGCCATTTTGTATGCCCTGCAGTGAGGCAAAATCCAATGATGAAGGGTCCCGGGTTCTATTCTGGCCAATGGCACATACCTTGGTTGCAGGCTCGATTCCCTGCCCTGGTCCGGACGTGTGTGGGAGACAACCAATCGATGTGGCTCTCTTACACTGATGTTTCTCTCTCTCTCCCTTCCACTCTCTCTTTCTGGAAACCAGTGGAAAAAATATCCTCAGGTGAGAATTTTAAAAAAAGTACGCCTGTTGAAAGAGTGCACCTTAGACCAGAATTACGCAACAACTCCAGAGGGCATCTGGCTTTGCCGTCCCTCACCTAGTTTGTCTGAATCCAGCATTCTTGGAGATGTTGAACAGTACCACGTCTCCCCTGAGTTTTGAACTGATGTAATACATTCTTTAAAGTCACAGTTATTTACTTCCAATTTTACCTTAAATGTGTAAGAAAAATTCCAGTATGTTGTCTGAAGTTTGTGCAGACCTGATACAGGTCCGAAAGGAAAAAGTAGCCCAAAAAAGTAGCCCAAATCCTTCCATCTCTTATATGGAATGTGCTTTTCATAGGACTTCAGCTTTCAAAGCACCTTCTGTCTCACCTGGTCAACCCTGTGACGCGGGCGGTGGTGGGATTCTGCAGAAGGGGAGCACACTGGGGCCTTGCTAGGAGTCAAGTGGAGAGTCTGTGGAAAAGTGTGCACCCAAACCTGACCCCTCTGCCGCCCCAAGGCATTCTGGACGGTGGCCAGAGGAGGCAGATGGCAGGAGAAAAGAAGTGGAAATGCAAAAGGCAGGTTGGAACGAACAAGGACAGTGCAGAGGAAGGCAGGCACTGTGGGGTGCGGTTAAGGCCTTGCAAAAAGGGTGAGGCTCTGAGGCGGCACGTTGGGGGCTATTGGGGAACCTCATTCCGCCAATGGCAAAACGGAGCCCAGAGAGAAGGTGGTTTGCACAAGGATGTCCAGCACTTTGCAAGGCTGCAGCTGAACCCGAGTCTCCTGATCCCCGCCCAGGGATCTTCCTTCCGTCGGTCACTGGAAGACAGGCCGGCGGGCAGGGGACTCCAGGCCCGAGGCAGCAGGCGCACAGTCGCACGGGGGTGAACGGAAAGCTCTGCCCAAGGCTGGTGGCGCTATTAAACATCAAAGACCCAGGATGCCAAGTCCAAACAATCTGAGCAAGCGACCTCAAAGCTGAGATTTTCTCGCGGCCACAGGCTCCCACAGCTTCCGCCGGGAAGGCGGCGTCAGAAATGCCCCACTAGTACTCGGAGACTTTAGGAACCGCCCCAGAGATGGTCTGGATCTTTTGGAAATGTCAGAGCAGGAATCAAACATCAAACAGCCAATATTTCGGAAAGGCCACAATTCCCTAAGAAGCATTCTGGAATCTCGGAGATTACCGGCGTACGGCTGGGGTAAAGCGGAAAACAGCCGGGTGCCTTTCGGGAATTTCCGGAACTTCTTCCTACGCATTCGGGACTTCCCGGCTCTTTGCAGTCTCTCCAGTTGTTTAGCATCTAGCCCGTCCGTTCTTCGCTGAAATCCCGAGACAGTCCCTCGGCAATTTCCGGAACGGTTCGGGATCTGCCCGAGAGTGGCGCCCTCTGGCGGCGCTAACACATCATCACCAACACCACCACCTCCGCTCCACTACCACCATCACCACCGCTATCCCGGCTAGGCCAACACGCGCAGACGCAGTTGCGTGTCGGCGGCCGTTCCGACCGGACGTAGTTGCTGCTGAGATCAGTTCCGGCGGGTGACGGTGCGGACGGGTCAGAAGCGTAGAGGCGGCGGCAAAATGGCGGCGCCTGAGGAACAGGACCTAACCCAGGACCAGACAGAGAAGCTGCTGCAGTTTCAGGTAGCAGCGAGTACTCGGTGCAGCACGTGCCGCCGCGGGCTGGGGAATAGGCCTCTAGAGGAGCCCAGAACCCTTTTGAGATTGGGCCCGAGGTTCTTCTCAGACCAGCAGGCGGCCCCCTCCCCCCCAGACGCCAACTGCCCTGCTGCCCCGGAGCCTGTCTGTCCCTGGCCTTCAGTGGTGGCTGCTGCCAGATCCGCCTCCACCGCTCCCCTCAGCGGGCCAGCTTCCCTGGTGTCCTTTATGGGCGCCCGTCTTCGGTCATCCCAGACCCGATCCTCTCCGCCCAGCGATTCTGGACATACCGGAGATGCTTAATCCCCATCGTAGAGTTGGCCTCGTTTCGGGTCCCTGGAAAACCTACCGGCATCCCATGCTACTTCCATAAACATCTACCGAGGGCATCTTGGATGCCAGGGCTTGTGTTGGGCAACCTGGTGGGGGAAGGGCAGGCCTGGCCCCCGCCCTGAAGGTGTGGGAGGACACTACGTAAGGAAACAAATGCAACATTATAAATGTCATCAGTGGCTTTGGCGAGGTTTATTACCCTGGGCTTATTCCTGGACTCACGTGCTTGACCGAGCTTGAGGTGGGTGGTAACTTCAGGAATCTGCCTTCTTTTAAGTGGGTGTCGGGTTAAACACTTTAGCAATAAGCACTTATCTCTGAACTGGAGAATCCGGGTGGAGGAGACCACTAGGGTGGATAACCTTGATTCTTTGTTGCCCTGATGGATACCAGCTTCCTTATTTATAAAATACGTATTTTAAAAACGTTTACTCCTAAGCATATTGTGGAGATCTATTAAGTTTATGGATGTATGAAAGGCTTTGTAAAATGTAAAATGCTCCCAAACAGTATTGCTGCTTATTAATCATTATTTAACTTAGGAGAGAATTAAAGTTAGTGATACACTTATTTCTTAATATAAAACGTGCTATATATATTCATTGATTTCAGCAGTTATTTACCAAGAACCTTAGTGCTCAGGCACTCTCAGAAATGCCATTTATTATTAAGATGTTGTAAGTACTTTGCTAAACACTTAGCATACATTATCCCATTTAATACAATACTAGGAGATTCATACTGTCACAATCCCTATTTTACAGATAAGGGATATGAGGCTTAAGAAGTAAGGTGTTTAGGTTACAGAGCTAGTACGTGGTGCTGTCAGATTTAAAGCCAAGTCCATCTTTTCAGAACCTTTCCTGAGCCCTTTACTTGTGTGCCGTATAACCTGTTTAACACTGAAAGTGGAATTCAAATGTTGTGATTTGTTTTTTTTATTTTAGCAAGTTCTCAACTTTTCTATAATTTCCTTGATTCGATTTCACTGTAACTTTGGAGTTTTTTTCTCTTCAATTGAGCAGTGGCACCTGAAACTAATAGGATTTGTATGTTAATTATACATCAACCTTTAAAAAGTTGAGCAGTGGGTTGGAAATATATAAATGGAAAAATACTATCATAGAAGTTAGTTGATATTTGATTGGAGTTTTGAGTAGAGAACCTGATGGCACAGCGAATTAGAATCAGATTGAATAAGCAGCTTCCATTTCATGGTAGACCACTAATTTCAGAGTTTTGTTTAACTTTGGCAGACCATTTTACCCCCTACAACTCTTCAGGGTTATCCTATGTTGTTTAAATGTAATGAGGTGACGTGTGTCATGAGTCATGGTGTACTTAGTCTGGTACTGGAAGAACAATAATATGTGGTAGCATTTCTGAAGCATAGTGCATAGGAACCTCTGTTTTTGTCCTCATTGGACATCTATATCCATAAAGAGAGGTGAATAGCAGGTTAAAGTTGTATTAAGATCGCTTTATGAAATTTGATTTAGTAAAGCAAATGTATTTTACATTTATGTGTTCTTTAAGCAGTTTTTGGATCATGTGCATCATCCAGATTGCCATTATACATTCTTTAAAACTTACTAGGTGTCAAGCATTATGCCAGGTATTTGATGTACATGAACTCTTTTAAATTGCTTAATAATACTGTAAGGTGTTAACCTCCATTCAATTTATTCATGAAGAACCAGGTTCTGAGACATCAAGTAACTTATACAGGTAGTAAGTGATAGAGATTTATTTATTTTTTAAGTTTTTATTTTTTTAATATGTCTTTATTGATTTCAGAGAGAGGAAGGGAGAGGGAGAGAGATAGAAACATCAGTGATGAGAGAGTCATTGATTGCCTCTTGCACACCCCTTAGTGGGGACTGAGCCTGCAACCCGGGCATGTGCCCTGACTGGGAATCAAACTGTGATTTCCTGGACCCTAGGTCGATGCTCAACCGCTGAGCCACGCCCGCCAGGCAAGTGGCAGAGATTTAGAAATCCATATCCATAACCATCTTGTCTATAATCTGATGGAGAAGCCAGATACATATATGAATGAGTATCCTGCAGTTTGTTAGTGCTCATAGTGTGGTATGGTATAAACAAATTGCTGTGGGGATCTAGGGGGGGGGATAGGAAGAGGAGAGAAGGATGGCTCTTGGGCATAGTGCTAAGATACTAGTTTATAACTGTTATGCTTAATCTTAAAGTAGCCTTACAGAGTGCCATATGTGGTATGCCTGCTCCTAGGTGAGTGAACAGATCTATTGAAGTACTTGCTTAATGTCATTAAGCTGTTAAATAGTAGAAATGGAGTTAGAGTTAGAAATCTAGTGGATCTGGATCCGGACTTCAAGCCTGGGTTCTTTCCACTGTGCTTTGCTACTTCGAAGAAGGAATAGAATTTTAATAGGTGGTGGAGAGGAGAGTGTTCAAAGCTGATGAAACAGCTCAATTAAGGGATGGAGATGGAGTGTGGAGTGTGTTTGTGATAGATTTAGAGAATTGCAAGTGGAAAATAAGACTGGAAAGATAAATTACAGCCAGGGCCTTTCGAAGTCTTTAAAAGCTGTGCACAATGGCTTAAATTTTAATGTGCAGGTGTGTGGAGCCATCAAAGGTTTTTTCAACTGGGGTGTGACATAACACTAGGTTTCAGGTTTGCTTCACTAACAAACAGTATGGAGCATGTGTTTGGAATGTCCACAGAGGTCAGGACAGAATAGGGTGACACTGCTAGGAGCTACTTCTCCCTGTTCCCCTCTAAGGTTTATTTGTACAAATAGCTCAGGAAGACAGCAGCTCCATGCAGACAACAGCCCAGGGGTCATACCACCCCTTCTGTCCTCACATTGGCAGACAGAGGCTTCTACTGTGGAGCCTTGGTGGGCTCCTGGGCACCTTTGGGAGGCTGAGCTGCAGTCAAAACTGCATCTTGGGTTTTGGTTTGCACTTTGGCCTGGACTTTGGCCGGCAGAGCCTGAGATCCTTGGGGAAACATGAGCATGTTTCCCAAGCTTGGGGTGTTCGAAGTAGGCAAATCGATTGAACTTGTGGTTGCTGCCCTTTGGGATCTTGGGCTTGACCTCTTTAGGCTTTACGAGGGCCTTGATAGCCACAGCACGTGTGCTCATGGCCTTGGTGTTGTTGGCCTGCATGTTCTTCAGGCCCTTCTTGTTGTGCTTTTTGGCAAAACACATGTTCCTCAGGAACTTGGGGTCCAGACCCTTAAGAGATTTGTGTCTTTGTGATCTGGGTTCTTGATTCCGTTTCTGTGCCATTTCCAGGACTGGTTGTGTGTAGTATGATTTTTAGACTTGGCCATATCTGCACCGAAGCCCGTGGCTCCTGAAGCACTTCGGGCCAGAAGAGAGAGAGCAAAGCTAATTCTCAATATTTTGCTTCATTTGATATATTGAAATTAGCAAAAGTAAAATACTTTAGAACCCTCAGGTTTCCTCTATTTCACTTTTTTGCGTGACGTGATTTGACTGGAACTCCCTAGGGTATATTTATCATGCTTCTTAGTCTGTTTGCTGTCTGCTATGATTTTTGTAGTTATCCTTTTCTCCTGTTTATTTTGGAACCAGTTGAGTTATGAATAACTAATGCGGACATTTGGTTTTAGCTGTTTCAAATGGGAAAGAATAGGGTTTTGGTGGTGGTGGTAGTGTTTTGTTAATCCTCACCGGAGGATATTTTTTCCATTGATTTTTTTAGAGAGAGTGGAAGGGAGCGAGGGAGGGAGAGAGAGAGAGAGAGAGAGAGAGAGAGAGAGAGAGAGAGAGAGAGAGAAACAGAAACATCAATGTAAGAGAGAAAAACATCGATTGGTTGCCTCCCACACACGCCCTGACTGGGGCCAGGGATCGAACCTCTAACCAGGTGCCCTTGACTGGGAATTGAACTCGATACCCTTTGGTGCTCAGGCCGGCACCCCAACCATTGAGCCACACTGACCAGGGCAAGAATAGGTTTTAAGAAGAGATAATGCAGGTATGGGGGAGGTTACTTTTACTGAAGTAAATTTCCAAATATAGCAGGCTCCTCTAGTTTGGTTTGCTACCTTTAGGTTGCTGTTTGAACACTTGGAGAAGGATGATATGACAGAGCGAGAAGGGACTAAAGGAACTGTGCATGGCCAGTGGAGGAAGAAACTATCTTTCTGCTTTACAGGAGTAAGAAATTTCTTTCTTCTCAAATGGATATTAGGGTCTCCATTCCTTTAAATTACAGAAAATTAAGCCTGAACTCTGGGCTGTAGAATCAAACTCATTTTGAAAATCTTCCCTTTTCACCCCAGCCAGTTTGGCTCAGTGGTTAAAGTGCCAGCCCGCAGACTAAAGGGTCGCAGGTTCAATTCTGGCCAAGGGCACATACCTCAGTTCTCAGTTGCAGGCTCGATCCCCAGCCCTGGTCAGGAGGCAACCAACCGAT